GTGTGTGTGTGTGTGTGTGTGTGTGTGTGTGTGTGCGTGTGTGTGTGTGTGTGTGTGTGTGTGTGTGTGTGTGTGTGTATATATATGGAATATGTATATATATGGAAGGCCCATACATACACACTCGCACACACACAGCATATAGTTATGCCCTGGAACAATGAGAACATTTATAGTGCCCACAGATCTGGCCATTTATTTTACCAATGGTTATATTCCTTCATGTATGACCAGCTATAGTGAATGCAATCATTAATAATGACCTTTTCCTAAATACTAACCTTTCCATCCTCTATGTACTCAATATCAGCTGTGTTATAACCATCTCTTTGACTGTGCTGAATAACTTTGAACCTTCTTTTTCCAATACTGTCCACAACTGAACGTCCATCTGCAAAGAACTCGACATTACGGATCTCCAACAGGCACCCATAATCGGCAAATCTAGACGAGGGAACAAATCAAATGGTCAGTTCAAATGATTCTCCAGAATGCCGGCAAATAATCTCTTGGTCGATGCTTAAAATATGATTCATGCCATGAGTTTCTACCACATTTATTGATGCTACCAATGTATTCATTCTAAATCTGTCATCGTACTATACATAAAAATATTCCTATTCTTTTAATTGTTGTAATTAAAAGGACAGTCATACCATAATACATAAACACACAACCATAAGTAACCCAAAACAATCAGTTAACTATAAGTTTTTATTAGTAGAGTACAGTGGGGTAAACTAACAATACGAGTTGTGGTTATTTGGTATGACTTGCTGTTTACCACTATGATCCTCAATAAATGCCAATGCCTAATTGTTTGTGAATTTATGACCTGGTCCTGGTCAGTGATATTAAAGCCAAAAGGTTTGTAAGCTATTTCAAATGATGATGAAATCACTTACAATTAATGCTGCTCCTTGATGATTAAAAGTTTTACAGGCTTATTCACAAAAGAGTGAAGAGTTTGGAGAAGTGAACAATCTAGGACAACATAGCTGAACTGGACAGTGAGCTGAATTGGAGAATTTTTCCAAATCAGCTATTTTGGTCTAGATTTGTGAATAACCCTGTTAGTTTCCTGCCGATTTAGATGGTGCCTGAGCACTGGCACTGATATCCTGTTTTAAGGCAGTTCCTTTCTCTTGCAGAGTCCTATGGAGCTACCCTTGTGTGTGCAAATAAGCTGTCCATGTCTCCACAAACACACAAGCAACCCACTCCCCTGCTCCTTGCTTCTCCTCCCTCTAATCTAGTATAAGGACAGCTACTGGAGACTGATCTGTCTCTTGTGATATTGAGCTCAGGAAGTTCAGGGAGGCTGAGCTGAGAGAGTTGGAGTCAGCTGTTTGGAAACATTTTGCTTGGGCAAAAATGTAAAAAATAATAATACTTTGACGGACAATGTATATTTGTTTGATCTGCATTTATTATTGAAAGAAAATGACAGTCGAATACTATTTTAAAACTAAAAGTCATACACTCGGGGAATGATTTTCACTTGTTGGCACAACCCAGCAAATTTCCTCTTCAGCTGCCATACAACCTGCATCCTGGGCTGCTCTGGAACACACAGATTGATGCAGGTTCCTGGTTTGACAGCCTGGCCCCACCCCCTCCTACAATTTAAAAACCACTATTGGTCAATCATTGTGGTGAGGGCCTTTTTGGCTAAAAGTGTCACTTTAGTTTTCCTTGACCTGCAGGGCCTCACAGTATTTCCACAGACTTGAAAAGAATGGCCTACCTGCCAATAAGGTCGTTTTATTCTCCTATGTATTTATTTAACCTGACTGCCCCTGAGGATATTTATTCATAGTGCTAGATTTCACATTCTTCTTCCCTGAGTACGAACCAGAACATATACAGTGCACAGCAGGGCAGTGTGTTCAGTGATTCTACCAAATTTGTTTCTCTAAACCCAAATAGTGACATGTGAGAAGGAAGTTGCCCTAATCATGACCCTGGATCTAACCGCTAGAGAGAGAGTGAGAGAGAGAGTGAGGGAGAGCGCGCGCTAGAGAGATAAAGAGCGTGCGCGCTAGAGAGATAAAGAGCGCGCGCGCTAGAGAGATAAAGAGCGAGAGAGCGAGAGAGCGAGAGCGAGAGCGAGAGCGAATTTTCCTCACCCTTTTACAGAGTCGCCAATGCACATGCCAAATTGCTTTGTCCCAGTCTCCATACATCTCCGAATCATCAAACGATAACAAGGTTCAAATATGTGCAGAGGGCACGGAACTGTGGGGTAAGCCATGGTGCACACAAATATAGGGACATTTTTGTTCATGCTTGTGAAAGAGAAAAAAAACAAACATTCATTAGCACTTGGTGATAAAAAAAACTTGTTGTAAGCATGACATTTCTATGACTGCTTCTCTAACAATAACCACTGAAAATGCTACGTGCCACAATACACACACCTTGAATACTACATTAAATTCAATGTTATGTGTGTAGAGGAAAGCTCAGATTACAGCTTTTCAAAAAATAAAAAAATTATATACACACACACATATATATATTTATTTGTTTTACTCCACTTAGAGCACCACTTAAGCTAGGAGGGTCAAGGTTACAAATCAATGCACACACCGAAACATGCACCATTACCTAAACTGGGGTCAGAGCACTGAATGAAAAGACTTTCAATTTTTGTTTACTGATTCTTGCATTAAATTGATGCAAATCAGATTCATTTATGTACAGTTCTACAATGGTTGGACAATGTATGAAACTAAAATCACTGCAACAGACAGCAATATTTCTGTTTGCTAATCCAACACAGATAAGCTGGATACGCTCGTTATAGTCTGTAGGGAGTTAGCACAGTGGGGGTGATTTTTGAAAAACTGGAGCAAATACTTTATATGTTATATTCTATAAATAATTAACTAGAAACTGGAGCTTAAAAAAGTAAGAAAATGTGGAGCTAAAGAGGGCTAACAGGTTTCTTGTTTCATCTTCAAAGACTAAAGCTGAATTGCCGGGCAGTTATTAAATAAATGCAGGCAGCTGTGTGTTTCCTTTAAAAAATATTTGTATATGCAACTAACATAAGCATCTGAATCTCTTTTGGTATGGGCCTTCCATCATCCCTTCTACAGCATCACTCAGACTAAAGCTGCCCATACACCTTACAACCATTGCACGACTTTCGTGGGTGCGATGGTTGTAAGGTGATCAAAATTTTGTACGATCTGCACATCTTGGACAGGCAGATCGTACTTGCGATCATCGCAAGCCCTCGCCGATGAGGGGAGGGCTTCCGATGATTGCAGTGCTGAGCAGGCAGTGTGCGCTTGCGCACAGCAGCCCGTGCAGCATTCGTCTTTCGAGCACGCCACCAACCCGCCGAAAATCGTATGATACTTTGGCATATACGATAGTTCATGTATGTGTATTTCAACTGAGGAATTATGTGTTTGTCAGGAGTTCAGCTCTAACACTTTTGCTGCTAGACTAAAGCCTTTTTATTTTTCACACACTTTAAAGTGACCATTTTTAGCTTGAAAATGTCCTAATAATAGTAGGTACAATTGTGTATGTTGCTTGATATTTCTGCAAGGGTTTGCTAAATCTACATTTTTAGAAAAAATACACTTAATTTAATCTTGTGCACAGAAACACAAAATAATGTTTTTATTTTGTAAAATAGAAACAGTAAGAATGACAACACACACAATTGTACATAGGTGACACTCTGAAAACCTTTCCAGCTCTACAATTTAGATTTAACCATAAATGAAGGCCCTAGAATGATTCCTCTAAGTACAGCCTATGAGTTGTGTAAAGGAGGTTTACATATGATTGTACATCCTAGATGTGCACATTTTCACGTATATACATGCATGGGGGAGGGGGGGTTGGTCATTTTTTTTTTATTACAAGGGAGCCTGGAATGGACATAGCATCGTGCAGTGACAGGTTCTCTTCATGTAGATAGCAGGGGTCTATTATACCCCTGCTGCTTTCCCCTAAATTACAGACCACAATTGTAAGAGAGACGATGATGTGCTCCTTGTAAACATTACATATTTCTAACATCCAAATGTTACTTAAATGACATGTCTGTGTTTCTTGTTTGACTTACTTTGAAAGCTCTGCAATCTCCTCCTCATATAATACTTTTCTTTCTTTAAGTTCCTCAGGGAAATACTTGGTTATTAGATCTTCCATCAGCTCTGTTTTACAAAACTTCCTCATAGCCAGATACTGAAAAGAAACATAAAACAGAATGTAAACCACTTTGGAACCTGTCAGCAGAAGGTGTGTGGTTCCAGCTTTTTACACCACAAAGTAAGCACACAGATGTTTCAACTGTTCTTTGCATTTGCATTATTTTCATGATTCTGGATCTACAATTTTCTCTCGGTTTGGAATTACGTGGTGGGGATTAGCATAAGAAAGATCATTAGACTTTCCTGTAAACAGTGCACCTCTGAGGAGGTTGGTGTTGTGCATGACTAACTGTTACAATCGGGTCTCAGCAATCACCCAAAGACATGCTAGTAGGGTAATTGCCTCAATTCAGTGCGCCCAAGATGGCTGCCTGACCTCCTAAGCACTTTAAGTCCCCCAGCCCTATAGAAATGCAAATATTCTACGCACATTGGGGAACCTGTGTATACAGTATACAATTTGTGACAACCATTGGAAGTGGAAAATTAAAACACTGGTGGGTCCAAATAGGTCATACCTAGTGAAGTGACAAACCAAGTAAGGACACACAACATGCAGTACCAGAATACTGCGCATTGCATGCAACGCACCTGCCGCACAGTACCCTGTGCTAGACGCTGCTGGGCGGGAAACTACACATGCCCAACCCCAACTTCAAACCCCACCACCCCTACCAAGAGCCCCCTTCCCCCTCACGCTTATATATATTAGTCCATGAGCAGGAGCGGAGATGGAGGAGGACCCATGACGTCAATGGTTGCTAGATCCGCCCAGCGGTCCTAGTAACCAATGACTGCAGAGTAGGACCCTGAGGACTAAAGAGAAACACGGTCCGAACACGGTCCGATGGCAGACCTGCGCTGGGCTATGGCTTGTAGTGGATGCACTGGCCTTGGAGGCCGGTGCATCCACTGTCAACCAGCCATAATGGAGCACAGGTCGATGGCCCAGACAGCTGCAGACCAAGGGCTGGGTACAGGTTGCGGGCCATAAAATTCCCTGGTCTGGTGTAGGATCTGCTGAAGATGTCAGCGACCAGCTGGAGGGAGTGCATTACATGTTCCTGGTTTCTAAGACGATCAAACACAGAAGGAAAAATCTACTATTCAACTATTTTTTTTTGTTTAAGAAAATGTATCCACCAAGTGGAATACTGATAGTATGACACAAAATGCAAGTATGGATTTTAGTACACATAGCTTTACTGTGGACGTCAGCTATGGGTTCTCGCTGTGTTCTGTGTGTTTTATATACCTTGTCTAACAACTGTTGAATTATGAGTTATCTACAAATTATACACAGACCTGCTACTATTCCTGTCCACTTGCAATTCCCACATATCTATGCATTGCACAGCAGCTGCTGTTGCTATATCTGACAGAAAAATCTAATAGGGGAGTTTGACCCCCTCATGACACCCATAGAAGGTGTGCAGAACTGAGAAGCCAAGTGCAGAGACACTGTTAGTTGTTTGAACTGTTCAGTATCTTCGGAATATGATAAATGGTCAGGGCCCTGATGATAAATAGACAGTTTTAAATGGACAGGAACTTTACTAAACAGATGTTCATGAAGATCATGAACATCTGGGGTTGTGATCATAAGTTCCCATAAAATGGTCCTCCTGTGTAAGAGACCAGCTTTAGCCCTTGAGAGTTCATTAGTAAGCTTGAAATTAACCTGACAAATGAATATAAACTTAACACTTAAACTTTTAAACCAACCTCACACAAGTCTTCTTTGCACAATGGACACTTCGAGTTGTGGTCGAGGCATCGTTCAAGACACTTTAGGCAATATGTGTGCCCACAGGGAGTGGTCACGGGTTCATACAGCAACCTAAAGCCAAAAAATAAAAAGAGAAGACAACAATACCTTGCACCAAGAAAATAGAAAGGAGTGGATTATCTATGAATTTACAACAGAATACACAATACTAACCTAGTACAGAATTTACAGTGTTGCTGAATTGTGCCAGAAGGCACTAAAGTCAAAGCTAAATAAGGGGTTTTATGTATTTTAAAGTGGGTACAAGCCACTACTACGGCACAAACAGCATCAGTCACCATATTACCTTACAGTTCTTTTCTTGATCTGAATGTGACATTTGTGCTGCATGAAAAGTATAACTGGGTTAATTCCAGCTTGTATTGTAGACTGGAGACTGGGTCAATGGGTTATTAATTAGTCTGCAGAAGGGAACACAGTCTACTGATTCTAACTGAGGAAATGACCAGGGACATAATATTATATAATCTGTCTGCCAATAACACAGGCATGCGGCTAATCCTTAAACTGCTAGCAGTGGGGTCTTTTTTTTACATTGGTTCTATTTTCTTAATATGTAATTTGCTTTATTTAAAGACACAATGGAAAGAGAATATGCATTGTTGTGTTATACCAGTCAAACCCTATTGATTACAAATTGGTATCTGATTGGTTTCTATTAAATATTGAACAGCCATGCACCCTCCACCAAATTACTAAAAAAAGATAGTAGGAGTATAGATATGTTAGGCGTCATCGCAAAAAGCAATTTTCAAAAGTCGAAAGCATCCAATCAAGGATTTTCTCTTAAAGCTTAAAGCCAAATGTTAAAAATTAGGACTGCTGGTCCTCCATTGTACTTGATGACATCAGAGTGTATGTGGCTGATGAAGCACTGAAGGGAAGAGACTTTGGGAGACCAGTCGCATGGAGAGGCAGGAGCCTGTGAGAGCAAGGAATTAGGCAAGTAAAACTGGTTTTAAATGTTACCCTACAACAACACCTGGTAAAAAATGACCTACATATAAGCTACCGTAGGGAAATTCTAATTGCTCAAGTTGCAGTTAAATATATATACGAACATTTTCAACAAGCATCAAGACAGTAGAAGTAGATGAAAAACGATCACTGATTTGTTGTTTTTTCAGCAAGTGACCAAGAGAAATGAAGTGATACCTCATGCAGAGTGAACACTCCAAGTCTGAGGAATCCACAGGTGAGGAAACAGGCAAGTCCATGTCTGCACTGTTATCCGTTGACACATCTGTAAAAGTTAAAAAGTACAATATGTAGAAATATAATCCACTAGAAACAATCATTAAATAAAACACCATATTTGTAGACAATAAACTGGCCATGCATCAGAATCCAAATTCTGTGTCCCATTTGCAGAATGAGCCTTACAGAATCTGTAATTAAGTATTTAATAAACTTAAAGCTATGAATTGGAAGACTTGAGGTTGCAAAAAGTGGTATTTAGCCAGAAGCCTATGAGCCATAATTGAATAATAAAGTTTTTGCCAATTTATAAGTCAGGAATAAGTGAACATATATGTAGTTTGCTAAAATTTGACTACCTAAGAAAATGATCATAGCCTACCCCTCCCACATTCATACCCTCCTTATTGGTCCCCTACTGTGATGCACAGCCTCAATGACCAATGGGGAGGCAAGAGCCAAGCTCAACTATTAGAGGAAAAGTTGGGATTTCTATAAGACATTAGTTGCCTGTATCTCTTAATGTAACTTCAGCTAATTATATTTTTAAGCTAACGTCAGTGTGCATTCTCTATAGAGAGAAGTAAAATAAACCAGCCAGTATGAGAACAGTTAATGAGGATGCACCTCTGTTTGTTCTGTGTCTGTAGAGACACATATAATGAAATCTAGAATTCCCCCTCAGAATACACCCCCCACACCTTCAGAGCTGCTGTAAACTCAAGCAGTATAAATTCATACCTGTTTTTGGTAATTTGCTGGCAATCTCTGGATTTGTTACTTCGCTTGTATCATTTTTGCCCAACTTTCTTTTTAAAGTGTTACATGTCAATGAGGTTTTCAGGCATTCCTCCGAAGACAGGGTGTCTTTGCTGTGGCCATCCTTTATATTTTCTAAGGGCTGCAGTGATTTCCACACAGTGTTGCATCCAGTGGGGCTAGTTTGTTCAGGAAGAATTACGTTTTTCTTATATTCCAAGTTAGTCTAATGAGAAAGAAAACACATTTTAATTATATTACATCATTAAATAGATTTAAATATGAGATGTTTTTTCTGGGACTGTTCTTAAGAGGCATCTATTGTTCGTGCCTGTATCATTCTGCTCTAGCAGATGCCTTGTCTTGAGCTGGCCATACACTCTTTGAATTCCTGCTAATTTGGTTGAAATTAATGGTTCCTAATTATCAGTGAAGCAATGTAATTGGACAGGGACATGAAAACTGGATGGCAGCAGAGAAAAAAAAAGAGGAAGTCAAGTCTCCTGTAACAAAATTCAGTTTAATTTGAGAGTCAAACAAATGAGAATTGTCTGGCTATAAAACTAACATAACTATAATTTGGTGCAATATCTAGTGAGTGTATTCAGACAGAATATGTGTGAGGATCTGTCCTCAGAGTAGAATGATGCAGTGGAAGAGAAGAACAGAAATATGCTCATTGAACTTTTTTCTTAGTTGGTGAACAGTTTCAGAAGCAGTGAGACTCTATTTCTTTTAAAAAAACGAAGCTGCTAGCAATTATTTCCCAAAAGGCAATTGGAGGTATCGGCAAGTAACTGCAACAATTCTCATTTACAACTGCTATGACCAAAAACGGCAGCTATTCTTAAGCGTTATAACTCCAGCACTTTATTCTAGTTATGGAGGGAGCTTGCTCCTTCCCATCTCACACACATTCATATTGGTCAAGGAGGCAGCCTGTCATAGTGATGGGCCAATCGGAATGTGCATTCAGCCATAGAAGATGAAAATGACAGCTGCTGTAGGAATATGCAGACACCACTATCTGCAAATAAATTTCCTTTTTTTTTACGTTGGGGGAAGGGGAGAAGAAAGTACTTTTTTTGATTTATTTGACAAAAAATGACCCTACTAATCTTACCCGGTATATCCTATGAGAATTAATGTTGTTGTCTGAGCTCATAAGACTTCCTTTTAACCTTGATGGATGTGACATCATTTGAAGAACATCTGAAAAGTCTCCTTGACTTTGTCCAGGACTTAATATGTTAAGCAGCAACTGTGGGTAGAATAATAGTGGGTAGAATAATAGTGATGTTAAAGTATTGAGCATTTACAGCCACATCCAAGGCTGTTGAAGATAAATATTAGGATATACTATATATGTATACTGTATATATAAACTATTATGCAAATGTATAACACGATGGATTTCACTTTCTATGTTGGAAGAGACCATTAAATATATTCATTAACTATTGCATTAACATGAACTCAAGCATCTTTGGTAGATAGACACTCAAGCAAGAGGAACAAGCACTTTATACTGCTGTGCTCCGTTTGAGTTCAGAGAACTTTGACAACAATGCAGGAAAATGTCTGGTGAACAGAATTTTTCCAAACACGACAAGGGTGCATGTAATATACTTGGCAAAATCCCGTTTTACTTTTACAGATTTGACACTTTTACAGATAGTGGCAAATCTGATTAAGAAGAAGTTATTAAAAGAATGTTAATAAGTACTTTTAGTCATCACAACTGCTAACCTAACAATAAACGATCCCAGACACAGTATACTGTAGATCAGTTCCCAACTGCAGCAGTGTTTTTTGCGTGGATAAAATGAGGAAAGATTTGAACCTCCACAACGGAGTCACAACAGGTGATACAATTAGACGTTATATGCTATAACTGGCACATTATACCAAATTGAGTTTTTGTTCACTTTTTATCATCTTGTTTTGAAAAAGAGGAGTGATCTAAAGGACTGGTATAATCTCTAGAGCTAGCATACACTCATTTAAAGCTGTCCTTGATTGAATGTTATTAGTCCACAATGATGTTATCCATGCTATAGCACACTCAATATAACTCGTGCTTCTCAATGTCTCAGCAAACCTATTAAAAACAACGTTAAAAGGGAAATATACAAAACTCAAGAAAAGTGTGCTGTCAATGGTTGTACAAACTCAGGTTACACAGCAACATAAAAAAAAAAAGTTCATGTTACCTTTTGGGCTTCAGATTTTGCAGTTTCATTTCCACTGTCAAGTACCAGGCAGAAAAGAAATTCTTTTAAAGCATCTTCTATTTTTCCCAATTGTGTCAACGCTTGTGCTTTCCTTAGATGCCCCTACAAAAGAATAAAGATCCATATGTGGGTAAGATATCTGTACACTGGCTTTGTTAATAAGAAAAATAAAAATGTGTTCATCAGCAAGTTGTGGCAACCAATCAGAATTTAACAACCACTCACCAAACAATAGTGAACTGATTTCTGATTTTATATTTGTGTATCCAAGGGTAACTAACCACAGAATCCAGCACAGACTACAATACCACCACAATGTTTTACAATTTCTTACAAGCAGTGTTTCCTTGGCAAGTGCTCCAGACAAAACCTTTATCCCCCTCAACACAAACCATTCTGCTAAAACTACATTTCCTAGGTTTCATTCCGCCTTGAGATCCTACTACACATACATCCCCATTGTACTTTCTACATTTGTATTTTGTATTGGGCGGTACTGTGTGGGCAGCGATTTCATCAATGGGCATTTTTCTGTGTTATCACGTGCTGGTACTGGATGCATCGGCACATATTACTGTAGTCCTTTCAGGAGCGAGCAGATGATGCTGAATAAGTTCCCACATACACTGTAACCATGTAGAGTGAACTTAGTCACCCTCAATAAGGAAGTTGGAGCTCAGCAGATTGGAAAACTATTTTTCCGGATGTAATGTCTGACAATGTCATTAAAGGAGATAGAGATGAATAACGTTGAAGGTACTGAATATTATTTATTTTTTCCCCACTGTGGGTTTAGTGACACTTCAAATAAATAAAACCATATGTTTGTTAATGCATGTTATGCACACTTTGCAGCTAACCATATACTGTATATATTAAAAGGATTATACTTACTTTTAACCAATATGGCTGCAGCTTGCAGGCTGTTTCTGCATCATCCAGTGCCAGTTTATAAGACTTTAGACTGAGGTAAACCATAGCACGGTTGCTATACAGTAAATGGTCAAGTGGTACTAGAACAAAGAAGGACATAAAAGGTAAATTCTGTCAGTACAAAGAATATGAACATGCATATGATATGTTGACATGGCTTATATGTATTTTTTTAGTTTTGGAAAAACTAGGGAAAAGTTAAAACCCCTATCAGTTTATTTTGGGTTTCTATGCGTCTTTGGAAAGATTTTTGTTCACTTCCTGTCTCAGAGAGGCAACAGGAAGTGAAAGGATATACCTACAAATTAAGCGAAATTCCCCCACTTAGTTAAAAATTAATTTCAATGGCCATGTTCACATATGAGCATTTTATTGCTTGTAGCAAAATGCCCGACCAATAGGCCTGGTTCACACTAAGCGTTTTGTAGCGCTCTTTCTGCCCTTAAAAACATAAAAAATATACCCAGACTACAATGACATTAATTTCTATGGCCCTCTTCACATCTGAGCATTTTGTCGCAATAAGCAAAACGCCTGTCGCTGGAAAAAGTACATGAGCTTTCTTTTAGGCAGATTCTGCACTTCTTGGCCCTATAGACTTCAATGGAAACATTCTAAAATGCTCGTTTGCGCATATTTCTTTTTACACACGTTTCTCCATTCACATCAATGTGTCACAATCAGCTCACAAAAATGCGCAACTGTATGCATTTTACACTCCTAAATGTGTGCAAAAATGTGCTACACAAAATGCACTGAAAACGCACATATTTGCTGTTGCCCAGGTGTGAAGGAGAGCGCACATTCAGGGCATGAGCCATGCCTGGCCTTGAAGAGTAATGGTCTTTCCTCTTTATGGTCAACCCCAAAACATGTGCTGGACTTCAAAACCAGCTTGAAGCATTTAAGGATAGGATCATTGCCTTAGTCAGGCAGTATAAATGACTCTGCAAATATCTGGCACATGGGTCCATTTAGAAATGTCCAAAAATGGAGCTGGGAATGGGACCAATCACCCACAGGACACCAACAGGAACACTGTATGTTCTTCTAATCACAACTGTACTTCTTTTAAAGAAGCCTGTGACAGTCTACATTCAGTTAAAAACTGATATTAAAGGAAGCTCTAAATGAAGACTTGTAGCTTGCTTACTATACACTCCAGCAGATTTACTGAGTGAGCAAGACATAAATGAAAGGACGTTATGTGTTTATTTCCAGACGTTTGCAAGCTCATTTTAATAAGTTACGGAGGCAAAGTAGCCTCATGTGGTGATGATATTTCATAAAACATTTCTAAACAGATTAATGATGCTAAGCAAGTAAATGGTATTAAAAAGAAGGATGCTCATTAAAATCTAATTATTAGAGTAACTTCCAACTATCTAGTCACCTGGGGAGGAAAGTCCATATCCATTAACATCATTAAGTAGACCGTCATAATGTCCAAATCCAGGGAAATGTATCGCACAGGGAGCACAGCCTGATAGTACATTTTACACATAGTATATGAACATTGTAAATCTTTTCCCCCATCTCGTCAGGCACTCTGAGGTTATATATTGAAGGATCTTCAAAGCAGAATACCAAACACCACACATTTATAGTGGAGCTACAGTCAAATTGTATTGTTTTCATTTTGGACAAAGCGGGAAAATATTAAAACCTCAGTCACGTTTTTATTGCTCTCTCTCTGTTCACTGTCAGTGGGACAGGAACTGAGGTGGAATGGTCCTAGCAGAGATGCAGACAATATGCACAGCAATGCACCGCACCACAGATTGAGCGTTACCATGCGTTTCAGTAATGCGCTGTGAAACAAACATCCAATTTGAATGGCAACCCAATACACCTTGTAAATTAGGGATGGCCAAACTGCGGCCCTCCAGCTGTGGTGGAACTACGAATCCCATGAGGCTTTGCAAGATTCTCACAGCCACGACTCCCGGAGAGAGATGCTTCATGGGATTTGTAGTTTCACCACAGCTGGAGGGCCGGAGTTTGGCCATTTCTGTTGTAAATGCACCCCAGCCCATCACAACACACAGATGGGACCGACCGACCAGTGGTGCAGTGGGGGAGGGGGGGAGTACAAGTAAAAGTATTCACATATTATATTTGTAAGATATTTTCATTTTTGTACCATTTCTACTAACATTATGTTTAAATGAGCATTGAACAGCCATTAAAGGTGTGCTAAAAGTGTGCACAGAGCAGGCTGACAACCCTTTTGCTAGTTGAATGACAGTGGCTTATTGCTGACAGTCTGCAACAGGAAGTATGGTGCGATCTCAAGATGGAGTACTCAACACTGAACCACATGCCTACTGAGGACTTCATGAGACTGGTCCAGGCCCATGTCTGCTTCTATGATCAGAGGCATGCAAGGGCAGTGGCAGGAGTGGCAGGTGGACCATTGGTGCACAAATATGAAGCATACGGTAGTTGCCATAGCATGCCAACTAAAGGGTGCTCATGAATACATCAAAAGTATTTGTAGGCACCCCTATGTGCTTGCTTTGTAGTCATGTTATCACTAAGATTAAGGCAACAATCTCATCAAATTTGCAAATATATCTAGAAAGATTTAATAAAACTAAACATTTCCTCTAAGATAAATGACACATATATATTTTGTTACATTGACCCGCATGTATGGAAGCTGAGCAGCATATGACTGCCTTATGTAACCAAGCTACAGTACTCATGCAATTAGGAGAAACAGAGCGAAATATTGTATACTGGTTGTGACACTTCCATACATTCCAATTATAACATCATCAACTGCACTGCTGTGTTATACAGCCTGTCTTTTTGTGGAATTATGTGTGAAGAAATCTGAACTGATCTTGAAAAAGATGTTGATAGTTCACACTAAACAGTGTAGAAAAAATGAATTGCCACGGCATCCAGATTATAATACATGGAACACAAACAATCATTTGGGTGTTTACAGGGACCATATAGAAATTTTACTGGCAGGAAATGTACATACAAAACAATGTTCTACAGTTTTATACTGCAGGAAAAGCACAGCTATAAACAAGAAGTGAGATATAGGTGATAAAAGTCAATGCTTAATTGACAGTGTTCTGTAGCCCTTTAGTCATGTCTGTAATTACACCTTCTACATGTCTTTCTGCACATATATTCAGAATTAGGTGCATAAGTAAATGCAATACTTGTAGCACATCTGATGTATGATTAAATACATGAATCAAGAAGGACAGGCTGGGAGACATTGAAGGGAATTTATCAAAACTGGAGCAGACAAATCTAGAGCAGCTGTGCATGGCAGCCAATCAGCTTCTCTCTTTAATTTTCAAATCTTAACTGACCAAACTGAAGAGAGAAGCTGATTGGTTGCCATGCACAGCTGCTCCAGCTTTTGTATGCTCAAGTTTTGATAACTTCCCCCATTGTCTTTAGCACAGTGACCTGCTGCAGTTTCTAATATGACTTGCCTAAAGAAATAAAATCGGTAAATGCATATTTAACATGATTTAGGTTGAATGTCATAACTTAATCATGTAACCCTTTCCTGTCCTTCTCAGACTGACCAAGCAACACAAATATTTGTCAACAAGGTGGCAAATTATGTAAGCAATAATGAGCGCTACCAATTATTGGATCACCCACCTAAGAAATCCCTAAATGGCCTTATCTTTTCCAGGCCATTGAATCGGCCTTGTTTTGGATTTTTTTGCCACTCTCTTTGTATTTTAGTGCATGGCCATGTTTATGGATGAAGACACAGATTGGACAAAACTACTCTTACATAAGAGGGAAATTATCCTATGCGCCATCAGCAGCAAGTTCATTAAAAAGACTTTCTATGACTTTATAACATCTGTAGATCTTGTTATTCAACTTCCGCCAACAAATCATTTATAATGCCTTAAAAAATAAAAGGCAATAATTGAGATCATTGGAGCATGGGTCCAATGACCAGACTCTTGCAGACTATGTCCCAGCCCCTGTCAATACCAAGGTATGGACCTTCAGTTATAGAGCTAAAGGAAGTTATCAATGAGCTACAAGTGGGGTGATGTCACCACACTCATAGTTCACAGAGATCTACGAGTCCCTCTCCTGCGGTAGTATTTTTAGATCCTGTGGATGGATCTGAAAGTGAATGACACAGCGTTGTGGGCAAAACCACTCACAGCCACACTGAGTTCAAATATAGACAAAATGTTGTGGGGAAAAGAACCCCGTGATACTGTAAGGTGGGGCGGGAACAACTTGGGGTGACGGGCTGCCGACTGTGACCATGTTTTATGTTAAACCCTAAATAGGAGTGTAACATGGAACATGGTCTAAAAGGCCTAATTAGCGCTTTATCACCTCCCCTCCATCTTTCCAGTGACAACAATGAATGACTGGCCCTGTCACACAGATTTTCCAAACATTCAAATGTATTTTCTCAGATCTATCTTACATCGATAGTACAATGCCTTAGCAGTACAATTTATTAGTCATAGCACTGATCCTATCCATAGCTGTAGCTGTTATAGAAGTTATAGTATAAACATGCACACACATTGTACTTATCGACTGAAAAATAATCTCTTTGGCACTAAAGCTGAAGGAAAGGACTTCCAGTATTGTGCTGAGCAACAAGTCAAATGCAAACGATTTTATGTATTTGTGGTACAAGTTAGAAAATAAAGGCAAAAGTCACAATAATGTGTATGAGCAACAAAATATCTGTCTTTCCTCCAGCCCACTTTTCAAGTCTCATCTTATCATACATTCTAATTCTTCGTTGTAGCAATATCATTGACACACTACAGCAGAAGCTACAGAAGTACATGCTCAGATACGCTGTCTGTGATAAGAGTCACAAGCTGCCATGGTAGAGCTGTTAAAAAGCTTTTCTTCTCATCATGTAAAAACTACCAAACTTGGTTTGTTAGACTCTACAGTGCAGACTGTATAAAATATTTTATGTATCTGTTTTAAATTGGGGTCAATGTTGGAGAAAGGTTGAAAATATATGACCCAGTTCTTTGTTACCTCACTGGTTTTACAAGCAGTGGAAAGAAGGAGGGGGGTAGAGAGACTGGCAGACAGTATATTCTTCATAGTTATGCAACTCTGCTCTCCTGACCCAGTTTATCTACATAGCTACACTTCCCAAGTAGCAAACCGGTCGGGCTTCTTGTACAGAGCATGTGGTGCTGTAATAATAGGCTGGGAAAATGTCTGCGTATAGAGAACATAATACCTTGCTATTAACAGGTGAAATCCCTCAAGTCAAATCGTTCAAAGCCCTATCTAACAAACGAAAATGTCTAGGAACAACAGGTCAGAGCTCGAATTCCATTATATAGTCATTTCAAGATAGAATAGATGAAAATCATGTAACCATCTTTTATTAGGCAGCAAATCGCATACCATTTATATTTTTAAAAATAATAAAACAGTGTTGGGAAATGTTATAAAAAAAATATATATATTTTCTAACATCCTCAGCAGAAATAAATGTTGCCCTTAGCCTGTAGTTGTATAGTATAGTAATGTATACTATATAGTTTGCATTGACAGATATTGTGTAAAAGTCCTAAAAAGGTGATGACATGTTTAACCATTAGTTATCAGAGACCCGCTCAGTGAAAGGGAGATAGGGACTTTCCTGCATCACCTCCCTACTGTACCTGTAACTTACCGTGATCAATGCTGTCATTGTCTTTCTGCTGAATTTTTCCCTCCCACTGCTAAACTAACGGTCCAGGGGTTGAGCTCAAAAGCAAAGACAAATCTTACCACTGTGAGAAGTCAACAGGCCTTTGAACCTGCCGGCCTCCATCCAACCAGGGGAATAAAAAGATTTCCCTTGCAGAGTTACCTGCTTAAAAGCAGTTTTACTTGCCTGATCTCTAATTACATTGTCTCCCTTCGGTATGCTAGACTGGTCCTCACCACCTCTTCTCCCCTTTGCTCCAGCAGTCTAAGGACCACTGATGTCATCAAGTACAATGCAGGCTCCACAGTCCTTCATTGTATGTAAGGCCCGGGAGGGATAATACACAGCCAGAGTGAGGAGAAGTAGGGCAGAGCGGGGATAAGGTAAGTAAATTGCTTTATTTTGTCCCCTAGGCATAAATGAGCCGCAAACTTTTGCAGTGAAAGGGCAGCCCCACTGCAGGGGAAAATGTTCATTTCCCTCGAGCTCGACTTAAATATTTGGTGGCTACTTACATACATTAGATGCTCCTAAGGTTGCAAAGGTCAGCTGAAGCTGAAAGGATGACCTTGATTCACCCCTGGTAGCAATTACTGCAGACGCTGACTTTGAGTTTGATGTAATTGTGTTATTTATGTGGTCAGGTTCCCTACAATGAAAACTAGTTTTGTCAATGTGGGGAAAAACTTTCAAAACTTTTAAGAAGACTTCAGGAGCCATCGCTTGGCTGAACAATATAGGAATAGCCCCAGCAAGTGAAAGGCAACTCAGGAGTTCCTAAGAAAGGGTCTAGTTCCTGGATGTAAGTCACTCACATATGCTTCACCTCTACTGCTGTCCATTCAACACAGTCATCAGTTCTGGGTGGACTTAGTTATGAATTCTTAGAGCTCTGCAAGCTCATTCCCTTCTGTTCGGATATTATGATTTCATTAAATCGGAAAGACAGAAGGATATTAACTCTTTCTATATACTAGGCCTATAAATACTTAAAGTGGAACTTCAGTCACATTTGTTTCTGCTTTGGATAAATTGGAGTAGAGTTTTAAAGGAATTACAGCTGTCTTTATGCCCACTTGGTCGATTTCCCCACATCAGTGTCCAAATGTTAAGAAGTGAGAAAAATCTCCCCAACATGAACACAAACCGAAACACAAACTCTCCAACACTCCCAGCACTTCTGTGTTCTACTGGAAAAAGGATTTTCTACTCCTGTCTATGGCCTTGCTTGAGGGATTTGTACTCACCTCTTGTCCTAATGACCACCCATAACTAGGAGAGGAAGTTAAGAAATCTTTCCAGATGGGACATGTTCAGCACATTAAAAAAAAAAAAAAAACTCAGGAGGTCTTTACCTTTCACACACTGTCCAAAAAAAAAAATGAAGTTCAACTTTAAAGGGAAACTGACACCATCTTTCAGCTCCAGAAGCTATATACACTGAGTGGCCAGAATATTATGACCACCTGACGTTTGTACCTACCTATCTATATACACACAACCATTCTCCATAAATCAATAAGGTGGCTGATTGGTAGATACAAATGGCATAAAATTCTTCTTCAAATGACACCCGATTACACTGATAAGACACCTTACACAAGGAACACAATGAACTGAGCATATCATCTAATACCCCCCCCCCCACCTTTGTTTCTTGTTATTGACAACCGCTTCTAACGGATGCATACATTTAATCACAGTCTGCATTTAGAACAAGCACTGTATCATTGCTTGTTCTAAGCAATTATTGCACAACTCAAAGTTGTGACTTTACACCTAGACCGTCTAGGACCTGACAGAAGACATTTCATATTTAAACACTCTTTAAAATCAAACCCAGAAATATGACTAGTGACAATTTGGAGATTCATGATCTGTGTTCCTACTATTGCAGTCAGCATTGGCCTCATGCCAAACAACTGAGAGCCCAGCATGAAAATGACTGAAAGAAATGCCAGAGTTTGTAAACTGTGGATGCTATATAAATCCTGTATAATTATAATAATGTAAGCATTAAGGCTGAACTCCAGGTTAACTAAATATTATGTAAATACATGAGACATGTATTCCAATTTGAACCGTGGTGAGCTTTGTGCATTTGTTACAGATGTGTGCAGTAATCCAACCTGAAAACACTGCCTCTGTGCATGAGCTTTCTGTATTAAAGACCGGTCACTGCTGCACTATCTGCTCGGGCAGGGTGACTGGTCTTATCTCTGCCCCCCTGTTGTTTTCTGCAGGCAGCCTGTAGTGGGTGTGACCTGCTGGGTCCCTCCCACAGCTCTGCTCTCTTCACAGGCTATGTAATGCACAATGATGATGTCACTGCTACTTTATTATGTAATATCTGGGTTGGCAAAGAAATTTGGTGCACACAGAGTGGACTTATATAATTTCTGGCTAATTAGGAATATATTTAGATGAACAATTTGCTGTGCCTGGAGCTTTGCTGTGTGGCCCATTCAGACAGACGTGCATGCCCGTACAAAGATCCGACAGTGTATGTCCAAGTGTGGGTGACCGCGTGTAATTACGTGCAGCCGCGTCCTTCCATAGTGAAGAACACGCTGCTGTGCGCAATCACATGCAGCACCCTTCCAGGAGTGGGTCTTTTTCCAGGTGTGCACGCTGTATGGACTAGTACACCCGTCTGTATAATCCCTTAGGGTGCATTCCCACCAAAATTGGAAGGAAATCACAAGTCAACGGAGGGTCTGTTGACTTGCAATTGTACCGTCCGATCCATTGTGTTGTGATACATTTTTCAAAGGATGCTAATGAAAGGGCACTGAAAAATGTATGGGTGTGAATGGGGCTAGTTCGCACCAGATCCATTGCATTACACTGCACTGAAAAAAAGTAGTATATGTTCCACTTTTTTTCCCCACAATGCAACGTTATGTTATGGAGCAGTGTGAACTAGCCACATTCATTTTTCGGTGCCCTCCATTAGCATCCGTTATGAAATGTATCACAACACAACGGATCCGGTGTGACTGGGCTCTTAAAGGGCAGCATACTGACGGTGCACCCAACCCCATCCCAATTTCACAAGAACCCTCTCAGGAGGTAATTACCTAATCTGATGGCCTCCTTATATTTGTCCAGTGCTTCTTCCAACCTGTTGTCCTTGAGCAGGGCACTGCCATCCTTTGCCAGTCTCACAGCTCGGATCTCAGAAGGGAACCACTTGCTGATGACATTGCTCAGCACCACGTTGACCCTGTAGTGATGATCGGTGCTCTCCCGCACGGTTGCCCGGCATACTTTGCATTGACTTGTCTCTAGGCACTTCCTGCAGAACGTGTGCCCACATGGTAGAGTCACTGGCTCGCACAGGACGCCCTGGCACTCCTGGCAGGTGACGATCCCCCCCTTGGCATCGGATTGCGGTGGCGGCTCTCTGCTCCGGATCTGCTCTGCCAGGCAGGTTACTAAAGTGCCCAGCTGGTCGGCACACAGCTTCTTCTGAGCGGCGGCTCTGTGGTACAAATCAAACGCATCCTGCAGCTGGCCACAGCATGCCAGACATTCTGCCCTCTTTAGCAGTAGCCCCCAATCCACCACCCCAGCCTGCTGGTCCCGCAGCTGCCTCTCATAGATCTCACACGCCAACTGGAAGTTTTTTGCCTGGAAAGCTTGGGCAGCGAACTCCAGCATGAGGCTGCCGTCTGCCTCCTGGGTGCCCATAGTGGACGAACTGGTCGCCTATCACTTCCCCCCGGGGTCTTTGAGCTGCTCCATTCCTGCAATACGGCTAATAAGAGCCTTCCAGCCAAGTGTTATATAAAACGCGGTCATGTGACGCGCAGCGGCGCTTCCCATTGGCCGGGCTCCTTCAAATTGTTATAAAACCTCACTGGGGTTTTATAACAAGGTTGCAGGTCTGTGTCATTGTCTGTGAGCGGAATGTCATTGTTCTAAGCTACCTCAGGAGTGCACTTCACATAAATAACCCCATTAATGAAAGCATTGTGTAACAAGGGGACACATTTCATGAAATTCCTCACATTTGTGTATAGTGGGCATTGGCAGGGCAAGTGAAGACTGCTCATGTGATTGTTTACTTGTCTTTTCAATACAAATGTTTACCAAATAGAATACACTATAATAAGCAAAGTTCCCCGAAAATACGGAATCCCAAAATAGGAGCTGTCTATAATAATCAAACAGGTAATGATAATGTAACAAAATTTTAATGAGAATTAATAATAAAAGTAGAAAAACATATAAATACACCTACTGACAAAGAACATCTAAAATCAATTAAAATGACAAACAAGTCCTCCCTGATATCGCCCTGTGTTGATGGCGCTTCTCCTTTCCCCATTTGTTATTATCAAATAGAATACACATTTGTATTATTTGTGGTGTACGTGATTCTGGAGACCACACTGGCCACTGGAACTTGATTATATGTTTATTTACCTACCACGAGTGCTTAAAGCAGACCTTTACACTCAAAAATCTAATTCTACCAATGCATCCCTCTATCTATGATGATTAATAATCACATAGACATGGCAGGTGTAAAATGCTGTAATTCTGAAATACTTGCACTTGCAGAGCATTCACTTCCTGCTTTGAAATGGCAAAATGACTTTAGTTTGCCTAAGGAAATGCACAATGGGATTGCCTTGTCATCAGCAGAGCATTGCTGGAAATCTCATTTGTAATCATGAGATCTCAGGGAAAGGATTTTCCTTCCCTAAGATGATGTTCATGGTCACATGTCCTAGTCACATGTGACAGAAATCAAGGAAGGAAAAGGAGAGCTAGTAATCTGCCGTTAGTCTATGCCCTATGAGATTAGTTTGTTGTTATTTTAAAGATATGGGTAAAGGTCTGCTTTAAAGTCCAAATCTGTGCAAACCAAAAAAAATACCACAGCACGTAGGCAAAGAAGAGGGTTGCTAAAGCTTATTGGATACAAACTTGGTGCTCCTGCCAGGGCACAGGCCTTTTTCCAGTGAGGAAAGACCTTGATAGCCCCTGTGATGATGTCACAGGACAAAGAAGAAGATTTCTTCATTTGTAGGAATCGGTAAGTTAAAAACCATCATAGGGGTATGTGTACAATGTTGGAGGGAGATTTGTCAAAAATGTCTCCCAAATGTCTCCAGTCCAGGGAATGACTTCAAATGTCCACTCATTAGTGTATTGGTATCTTCAAATGCTGGTATAAAGACAATCATTATTACCACCAGGAGGTTTAACATACCATTTATTGTTTATGGATTTTTCTTGGTCTGCGTGACTGGAAGAATGACAAGTGTGTGCCTTTGGCTAAATATTTTTCACTTTGAAGTCTACTTTTTGCCAGGTTGGGAAGTATGTAAATATGAGGCTCATCATGTAAGGAGTGGACTTTAGCACAGGCTCCATACTGCTGCTCTGCTCCTTACTTACAGCACCCACCATTTTGTAATGGATTACCTGCAGCATGGCTTAGTACTTAGGTGTTGCAGGGTACGCAGGTGGTAGATTAGGGAGCTTAGGCAGGGTGGCAGGATTACAGCAAGAGACTAACAGGTGGTTAAACAAGGTTATGCCAGGGCATACAGGACAAAGTCCTTAAGACAGGGTTGTCCCAATCTCAGCTTCTCTGCTTAAAGGAGAATTATGAGGCGAGTGATTTTCACTCAGCCTCATAATCTGAGCCGACCTACGACAATGAAACTATCACAGGTCGGCTCAGTAGATCAGGAAGTGAGCGAACACATACCGTTGCTCTCTCACTTCTCGATCTATCCGTGCAGAGAGCCGTGATGTCACTCACGGCTCCCTACAGGGATTTCCTCCCCTGTCCGATCCTCCAGCGCTGACTGGCGGAACGGACGGGGGAGGGGGCAGGTACAGCCTCTAGATAGGCAGAGCCAGCTGTCACTCACGCAGCTGGGTGGATCCAGACAGCATTGTCGGGATCCATTCCGGCTGCGGCGTCTCAGTATACCGCAAACTGTAGCTCGCGGTGTACTGAGCTTTGGGTGACGGGGGGATGCTTGTTTGTGTCATTCCCGTTACCCTTAGGAGAGCTATGGGTAAAAGCACTGACTCCATAGTTCCGCTTTAACTGGATCCTGATGTCAACTCAAATACAGATTGCTGCCTGCTTAGCTCAGACCTGCCTGTGGACTATCACTCACCATTCACCATCTCCAACTCTCAGACATCAGAGTGGTTCGGCGGCCTGTCTGTCTAGACCAGACAGACCTAGACACGCACTCTCCAGATGTAACACTTCAAGCTGCTCGTGCAGCACATAGGAACAGACTGACTAGAGAGTGCTTTCTTAAGTGGGCAATATCTATCTGTTCAGGGACCCTTTCTCTGCTGAAACAGGCACTATCTGCATCTATCTGTCTGCCACACTAGTCATACATGTAACAATATTCTCTTCATTACAGTCAGCTTGTGATCATAGAAATGGCCAAAAGGACCAAGGAAACCTAACTCACAAACAATTGTAATAATTTTCTGGTTTCAGTAACAACTGTTGGTGGTCTGTTATTTTGATCCAGTCGGTTGATTTTAAATTGGAAATTGGTTGATAGCAGTTGAAATAGCCTTGTGAAAATAGTGTGCATGGACAGACTTGTTCTGGCAGTTGGAAAGAACCCAGGAGCAGAGACCCAAACGTTTCGGGAACTACTATTTAAACTTCCATCCTTATAACAGACAGCTACATAGAGACAGGAGCTCTCAAGTTGAAGTTAACATTATTTTTAATGATGTGAATCTGGACTGTTGTCTATATACTGAACTTCTAAATATCAAAGTGATTTTTGCGGGAGTTATCAGTTTAGGCTTATACTCAAGTAATCCGCCACATCAGAGTTTATTAAACTATGGGTCGGGTCCAAAACATAGCCTTCCCATGTGCACCCTGCTACAAAAGCTGGTTATAAGTGTATGCGGTTACCACCTTTTTCTAGTTTGACTATCTTGGATGTGGTGACGCATTGGGGAGTGTGGCAGTGTGGCTTTCACATATTTTTGGCAGTGTGGCTGCCAAAAACGGTGGCAGTGTGGCTTTCACATATTTTTGGCCAAAGGTTTGTGCAACTAAAACCACTGCTTTTAACGTATACTGTCTTGCGATGGTCTTAAGCTTATTCAACGTACCCATCTTGGACAGGCAGATCGTACTTGCGATCATCGCAAGCTCGCCCCCCTGAGGGGCGGGCTTCCGATGACTGCAAACGGCAGTGTGCGCGTACGCACGCCGGCCCGTTCGGCAGTTGTCCAACAAGCAGGCCACTAACCCGCCGAGAATCGTACGATTCTTGGCGGGTTTTCAAGCCTGCTTGTTCGACGGAAGACATGTACAGTAGAAACGGTCGCACGCCTTCCATACACTTTGCGATTATCGTACGATCGCGGGATTTCCCGCGATTCTCGTACAATAATCGTACAGTGTATGGGCACCTTCAGACAGGGTAATTTGTTTTGTTGCAGCTGGTAGGTGTGCTTGGGGTTTTTTGTGTTTTGTATTGTTGTAAGCCTTCCCATGTGCACCCTGCTACAAAGGCTGGTTATAAATGTATGCGGTTACCATCTTTTTCTAGTGGGTCCAAAACTGGGTCGCAGATGTTTTAGTGATGGGTTGACTCTGTAGTACACATAGCCCATTTTGTCCAAGTTTAAAATCAGTGCCGAGTGATATAGCATCAGGGCAGCCATTAGAAATCACACAGGAGATACGTAAACAGCCTTTAGGGGAGCAGACAGAATCTGGAGCAGCTGTGCACTGCAACCAATCAGCTTCTATTTTTCATTTTCAAATCTTACTGGTTGCCTTGGGCAACTGCTCCAGATTCGCTCTGCTCCAGTTTTGAAAAATTCACTCCCTTTGTATTTAAGCAGTGAGACACTATCTAAAAAAATAACAAAAAGGTTGCAGATTTCTAACATTATAGTTGAGCGATATTACAATAAGTAACCATTCCCAATACAGATAGCACTTTATTGGTTTTTATTTCTATAAACATGACAAATATGAGCAGTTATTTTTGTAATAAAAACACAACTGTTTATAAACAATCCTTCACTATTTCATTGCAATTGTGTATTAACAACCTAGCAAGTAATATACAGTAATACCTTGTTTTACAAGTAACTTGGTTTGAGAGCGTTTTGCAAGACAAGCAAACATTTCTGAAAAATTTTGCCTTGCTATACAAGCAATGTCTTGCAATAAAAGCAAAATTTTGTAGAAAAGCGCCACCGAATAAGGCTGTAGCAGTGCGAGCGATGAGTCTAACGACAATGCAATGCCACATTGGATAGATTCCTTGTTAAGGTTTCATGAAATGAAAACGATTCCATTGAGCCAAGAGAAGGCAGTGATTCCGTTAGTGATAGTGAAAGTTGTCCTACACAATAATCCTCCTCTCTCCCGTCCCCCTCACACCAGCCACGAAGGTACCGGCAATTGGTTTTTTTTTCTTTATATTTTGTACAGTATTATATTACAGTACAGTATTGTAATCATTTTTATATGAATATTTTTGGGTTGTGGAACGAATCATCTGAATTTCCATTATTTCCTATGGGGAAATTCGCTTTGATATACAAGCGCTTTGGATTACAAGCATGTTTCCGGAACGAATTATGCTCGTAAACCAAGGTATTACTGTACTATAATTACTATTCTAACATGCCGTTGCATCAACATATCACAATTTCTATAATTATTTGTATATTTTACGTGTGGATATTATAGGTATAGCTTTATCATGCTGGTGTTTCAGAGTTCAGCACCAGTTGCATTATGGTCCATCTTCCACTGGGTGGCATGCTGCAAGAGCATAAAGCTTCCCACAGTTTTCTTTTCCAAAAGCACTTTGGCACAACACACCAGAGACTTGCTTTTGGCAAGTTCACTGCAAAAGAACAGTAAACACAGCACATT